AATTGGTAGAACTAGACAAAAATTCAGTAAAGACCCAAAAGATGTGAACAACACTATTAGCTAAATTACTCTAGAATTCACTTTATAGAACACTACCTCCAACAACTACAGGATACAGTCTTTTCAAGTAGACATTGTGCATTCAACAAGACAGAGTATATGCTGGGCCATAAACTTTAAACTTAAAAAGATGAAAATCAGGGTGGCTCAGTCGTTAAAAGTCTGCCTTCGGCTCAGGTCATGATCCCAGGGTCCTGGGGTTGAGCCCCGCATCGGGCTCTCTGCTCCACAGGAAGCCTGCTTCTCCCTCTCCCACTCCCCCTGCTTGTGTTCCCTCTCTCTCTGTGTCTCTCTCTGTCAAATAAATAAATAAAATCTTAAAAAAAAAAGATGAAAATCATGTATGTATTCTCTGACTACATCAGAATTATATTAGAAGTCAAGAACAGTAGATCTAAAATAAAAAATAAATCTGGAAATTAAGCAATCTACTTGTAAACAATTCATGGGTCAAAAAGAAATCACCAGAGAAATTCAAAAATATTCTCAAGTGAATAACAACAAAAATTCACACATCAAAATTTGTGGATTGCAACCAAAGCAGTACCTACAAGGAAACTCACAGCTCTAAATACTCCTATTAGAAAATTAGATCTATAATCAATGACAAGATTTCATCTTAAGATAACTTAAAAAGGGGAAAGTAAACCCAAAATAAATAGAAGGAAAAATATAATGAAGGGGAGAAATTCATGAATTAGAAGAGACAACAGAGAAAATCTGGTTCTTTGAAAAGACCAACAAAATTGACAACCCTGTGGCTAGACTGAGATAATAGCAACAAGCAACTAGAAATGAACTTATAAAAATAATATCATTTACAATAATATAAAAAAACACCTAAAAACAAATCTAACAAAAGATAATCAAGATTTTTATAATGAAAACTTACAGAGAAGTTAGGGATCTAAATAAATGGAAAAATATAGCATGCTCATAAGTCAGAAAACTCGGGCGCCTGGGTGGCTCAGTTGGTTAAGCGACTGCCTTTGGCTCAGGTCATGATCCTGGAGTCCCAGGATCAAGTCCCACATCGGGCTCCCTGCTCGGCGGGGAGTCTGCTTCTCCCTCTGACCCTCCTCCCTCTCATGCTCTCTGTCTCTCATTCTCTCTCTCTCAAATAAATAAATAAATGAACAAGATCTTTAAAAAAAATAATAATAATAAGTCAGAAAACTCGGTATTGTTAAAATGGCAATTCTCCCCAAATTGATCTACTGATTCAATACAATACTGATCAATACTCTAGCATGCTTATTTTTATAGAAATTGACAAACTAATTCTAGAATTTATATAAAAAGACAAAGAACCTAGAATAACTAAACAAATTTTGAAAATGAACAAAAGAGTTAAGATGACTTACCCTATCTGATTTCAAGATTTACTCTAATCCCACAGTATCAAGACAGTTTAGTATTGGCAAAAAGACAGATATATAGAAGAGAATAAGGAGTCCAGAAACAGACCCACACATATAGATGTTGAAATAATTTCTGACCAAGGTGCCAAGGCAATTGAATAGGGAAGTCTTAAACAGGATATACAAAATGAAAAGAAATTAACATTGACTCTTATAACACACCATCCACAAAAAATCAACTCTAACCAAGTCAATAGACCTAAATGTAAAACCTAGAAAACTTCTAGAAAAAAACAAAGGAGAAAATCTTTGCAGTTAGGGATAGCAAAGTTTTCTCAAATAGAATACAAAAATAAGAAACATAAAAGGAAAAAATAACATTTTAATCATTTTTAATGATGAATATAAAACTGTTGGTCTTCAAGGCACCCAGGTGGCTCAGTCAGTTAAGTGGCTTCAGCTCAGGTCATGATCTCAGGGTCCTGGGATCAAGCCCCAAGTTGGGCTGTGCCACGTTCAGGAGGGAGTCTGCTTCTGGATTCTTTCACTCCCTCTGCCCTTCCCCTCTCTCTAAACTACATAAATAAATCTTTAAAAAATAAAAATAAAAATAAACAAAACTGTTGGTCTTCAAACACACCATCAAGAAAACGAAATGCAAATCAGAGATTGGAAGAAAATATTCAAGACACATCTATCTATCAGACAAAGGAACTGTATTCAGAATATAGTTTTTAAAAATACTACAATTCCATAGTAAGACAAACAACTCAATTTTTTTAAATGGGCAAAAGATATGAACAGGCACTTCCCAGAAGATGATATATGAATGACCAATAAGCACATGAACAGAAGTTCTACATCATTATTCGTCAGGGAAATGCAAATTAAAATCACAATGAAACACAACTATATACCCATAAAATTGACTAAAATTAAAGACTTATTCCCATACATTGCTGGTAAGAATATAAAATAATACCAGCAATTTGGGAAACAGGCAATTTCTTAAAAAGGTAAACATACTCCTGACATAAGATCCAATCAACCTAAGATGGTAAATCTTAGTAAATAAATACCATCTTAGGTATTTATCGAGAGAAAAAACAAAACATTTTTCTACACAGAGACTTGTACGTGGATGTTCATAACAGCTTTATTTTAATACCCTCAAAATGAAAATAACCCAAATATCCTTCAAGGTAGATGGCTAAACAAATCATAATGTTATCGATAATGAAATTTTGTTCAGCAATAAAAATGAATTTTCATCCAAAATCATTATTTTGAGTGAAAAAAATCATGCAAAAAGAGAACACACTACATGATTTCATTTATATAAAATCCTAGAAAGAAAAAAGGTCAGTGGTGTCTGGGAACAGGAGTAGAGGAAGGAATGGATCACAAAGAAACCCAAAAAATGTTTTCAGAGGGATGGAAATGTTATCTTGATTGTGGTGACACTGTTATGGTTATTTACATACATCAAAGTTGATCATACTGTATACTTTACATATGTATACTATAAATATGCAGTCTATTGTACTTCAATTATACCTCAATAAAAGTATTTAAAAAATTTTAATAGGAATTGGCAGGCCTCTAGGGCCAAAACCCACCATCCAAAACAATGGGAACAATGCCTACTAGCAAGACTTAATAGTATCAAGAAGCCATTAAGAGTCAAGTCCCATGTGACTCCTCTTGGTAAACTACCCTCATAGGAATGTCTTTACTGTTAGTGTAGGACTCAGATATACCCATATCCCCTCTCATGAATAAGTACAAGCACAGTGATAAATAAATAAATAAATATCAATAGTTCATATAATCAGTATGATTAACATCTTGGAAATTAAATCAATGTAGTTAGGGAATCCCTCCCTATAGGTCTCTTTCATTTTTAAAGGACTCAACAAAAACAATACTTGTCAAATGAGGGTACTTGATTGCTTGTAAAAACCCAGATTAATCTCAAACTTCCCTTTCCATAAATATGGCAAGAAAAAGACTTTGGTTTGAACAATATGATCATAATTCTAGTAACTTTATAATTTGTTGTCTGTGGCACCTTTTGGCCTCAGCTTCTAACCACAAGAGTGAAAAGTTGGACCAATTTTCAGCTCCTTTCTGATCTACCAAGAATCTTTCAGAGACCCTAGTTCATTCTCTAGGTGCAACTACTTAGACTTCATTAGAAAATTATTTCAGTTCATCCCAGTTTCCTTTGCAGCCTCTGTTCATTCTACCCAGTCCTTAAATGCTGATATTCTCCAGGGTTTCATCCTCTAGTCTCTTCTAGTCTCACTTCTCACCAATGGTTCTCAAACTTCACAATCTCTTACAAAGTCAGTTAAAAAGGATTCCTATGCCCTAACTCCAATGATTCTGATTCAGATTAATAGATGAGGACCTGTTAATCTTTATATTTTTTTAACAATTAGCCACTTGCTACTCCATTAAATGCTTTTACCTGTTCACATTCTGTTCTCTATAAAAAATACCTTTTCCTCTGGCTAACTGCATTATTCCTTGACTCTCAAGTCTGTTTAGTAGGAGTACTTGCTCTGGCAACTCTTCCCTTCTGAACTATCACCCCCTGACCCCCAAGTCCTATATTAAATTCCTGTTTAAAAATATTTACTTACACCTAATCATGTTGATGTACTTGCCTATCTCCCCTTTTAGACTATTCTGTGTTTTTCTTGTCTGTATATCTAACAGATATATGTGTTAATATTGCACATAATAGATATTCAGCAAATGTTATCTGAATTAATTAATTCCTTCCAATGAATATCTAGTTAATAAGAATCTCTAATATGGAAAAGGTTAGCACATTCAGTGTACGAAATAAACAACCAGTCTTAAAGCCAAATAGTCTGAAAATAAAAGGATTTCTCACAGCCATTTTTACCAGTCCTTCCCATGTTCATCAATGTATTCATGAGTATATATTTGATGTCTGAGGACAGGCGGGGCTACACTAAGTCATACGTTCCATTTTTAATATAATTCGTACTTTGCTTTGCAAGCTAGGTTCTTCTCCCCTGTATTAGGTTTAGACCTGCACTGTCCAATCACGTAGGCACTAGCTACAGGTGGCTATTTAAATTTAAGATTAAATACAGTTAAAAATTCAGTTCCTCAATCACACTGGCCACATTTCAAGCGGTCAAAAGCCATACGTGGCTATGGTCCTGGACAGTGCGGATACAGAACATTTTCTCATCATCACAGGAAGTTCTACTGGACAGCGCTGGCGACACAATTATAAATGGATCCCAGAAAACCTCACTTACTTCTTAGCTCCCACGATCTTCGTGCTCCTCTGCTGCTTAAAGGATGTGGGTTCCGGAGTCTAGCAAATCGCAAGCACATGAGTGAATGCTAGGGACCTCTGAACCCTGACCACAAAAAGACGAATCCCCTTGTGCCCAGAAGAAATGATGCTCTCCCCAGGCAACTACCTCAAACGGAAAAAGGCAAGACTTTTTAAGAAAAGTGTGTCGTCCTGTCTTCCTACAGAGTTAAGGCAGCTGACAACACCAGTCTTCATCTCCACCATTCCCAAAGCTCTGTCCCAGATAAAGGTTCTAAAGGGAGGCGAAAAGAGAGGACAACGGATATGGGAGGTCCTGGGGACATAAAAGGAATAGAAACTAATGGCAATATGGCGAGAAACTGAATCCAAGGAAGTGCGGAACAGTCAGCGGTAAGTGGGGGGGGAAAGGGAGACAGGTAGCTCTGACCTAGAAGGGTGGGGCCTACGATGGGCTCTGATAAAACCAACTCTGAGCATGGGACAAAAGCGAGGGACCGCGTGTTGCGGGCTCCACAGCGCTACCCCTAAAGCGTAACGGTCAAACCGAGAAACTCACGGCGGGTACTGCACCGAGTCTGGAAGACATCACTCCCTCTCCACGCCTAACAAATCCACCCAAGGGCTCCGGCCAGACCAACGCCACTTCCGCTCTCCCCTCTTCTCCCGGATGTGGAGTCGGCGCCGCGGGTCCCAGGTCTGAACGTCTACTTCCGCCTGGCAGCTTCCGAGGGGGCTGCGGCCGGAGTGAGTCACGTGACACGCCTCCCTCCTCTGAGACCCCCGCCCCGGGAGGCTGTAGGTGGGGTTTGGAGCTTTATCATGCCCTCAGAACCCCTTGCTCGCGTTCCATCCGTTTGCGCGACACCAAATATCCCTCCACCCTCCATTCCCCACCCAGCACGACGAGTGGTCTTTCTAGGTGGAGATCAATTATTGCCCCTTTATTTATCTTAGAGAAATTTCAGACCCATTCCCGCCCTCCCTCCCCCCGCCCCCAGGTAGAGAGGCGTAAAGGCTCTTTGATTGCTGAGGATGCAGGTATTGGAGGCAGTGGCTGAGCAGGAAAGAAGCCAGGAAAGGGGCAGCTCGGTGAAGACTTGAGCCAGTCAATGAATAATGGGCGCGAATCTCTTCTCATCTGTTAGCTTCAGGCCTCTAAACTTGCCCTGCTTTGGAATATTCTGTGTGTGGTCCCTAGGAGATGTGTTTGAGTAACCCTTGCAATCTTTAGACAGACTATGTCTGAGTCTCTCCCTAGGGGAGCTGTGCTTGAGTCTCTCCTTAGCGGGACTGTGACTAGTTCTCTCAGAGGGACTGAGATGGGTTTTGTCAGACCAACTATGTTGGCCCCTTTCAGAATGGCTGTGTTGGCTCTGCTCAGAATGACTGTGTCTGCTCCTCTCAGAGTGCCTGTGTCCACTTCTTTCAGAGGGACTACAATGAGTTCTCTCTGAGGAACTGCGACCGCTCCTCTCAGAGGGCCTGTGCTGTCTTCTCTCAAAAGGGCTGTGTCCTCTCCCCTCTAAGGGACTGTGATGAGTTTTCTGAAGGAGACTGCGATGGCTCCTCTCAGAGGGACTGCAACATCTCCTCTCTGAGGGACTGCAACATCTCTTCTCATAGGGACTCTGATAGCTCCTTTTGGAGAGACTGTGATAGCTCCTCTGAGAAGGACTTTGATGGCTCTTCTCAGAGGGACTGCGACATCTCCTCTCAGAGGGACTGCGACATCTCCTCTCAGAGGGACTCTGATGCCTCCTTTCAGAGGGACTGTGATGGCTCTTTAGAGAAGGACTTCGATGGCTCCTCTCAGAGGGACTCTGGTGGCTCTTTAGAGAAGGACTTCGATGGCTCCTCTCAGAGGGACTCTGGTGGCTCTTTAGAGAAGGACTTCGATGGCTCCTCTCAGAGGGACTCTGGTGGCTCTTTAGAGAAGGACTTCGGCGGCTCCTCTCAGAGGGACTCTGGTGGCTCTTTAGAGAAGGACTTCGACGGCTCCTCTCAGAGGGACTGCGACATCTCCTCTCAGAGGGACTGCGACATCTCCTCTCAGAAGGACTCTGATGCCTCCTTTCAGAGGGACTGTGATGGCTCTTTAGAGAAGGACTTCGACGGCTCCTCTCAGAGGGACTCTGGTGGCTCTTTAGAGAAGGACTTCGACGGCTCCTCTCAGAGGGACTGCGACATCTCCTCTCAGAAGGACTCTGATGCCTCCTTTCAGAGGGACTGTGATGGCTCTTTAGAGAAGGACTTCGACGGCTCCTCTCAGAGGGACTCTGGTGGCTCTTTAGAGAAGGACTTCGACGGCTCCTCTCAGAGGGACTGCGACATCTCCTCTCAGAAGGACTCTGATGCCTCCTTTCAGAGGGACTGTGATGGCTCTTTAGAGAAGGACTTCGACGGCTCCTCTCAGAGGGACTCTGGTGGCTCTTTAGAGAAGGACTTCGACGGCTCCTCTCAGAGGGACTGCGACATCTCCTCTCAGAAGGACTCTGATGCCTCCTTTCAGAGGGACTGTGATGGCTCTTTAGAGAAGGACTTCGACGGCTCCTCTCAGAGGGACTCTGGTGGCTCTTTAGAGAAGGACTTCGGTGGCTCCTCTCAGAGGGACTCTGGTGGCTCTTTAGAGAAGGACTTCGATGGCTCCTCTCAGAGGGACTCTGGTGGCTCTTTAGAGGAGGACTTCGACGGCTCCTCTCAGAGGGACTCTGGTGGCTCTTTAGAGAAGGACTTCGACGGCTCCTCTCAGAGGGACTGCGACATCTCCTCTCAGAGGGACTGCGATGGCTCCTTTCAGAGGAATTACACGGGGTTCTCTCCCTTAAGAAGCTATGGTGGTTTCGCTTCTTGGGCGTGATTTTCTCTTTAAGGTGACTCTGTGAGGTTCTCTTAAGTGAACCATGTAGATTTCTCCCTCGGGCTTGAACTCTGGTTCCTGTTTTGGAGTTCTTGGACTCCTGGCTAGAGATTTCACTTCTGCAGAAGTTTTTCTTAGCTTTGCTGCTACTGTCATTTTGAACAATACCCATACGCTGTCCGACTGAAGTGGTTTTGAAAATGGCACTTCTTTTAGAAACTATTGGCTTGGGCAGTTGGGTACGTCTGAGTTGGAAAGAGCTATCTCTTTTTGGTTGTTGAGGTGATCTGAATTGCTCTATTTCTTCCCATAATATCTTCTCCTGCTTAGTGGTTATGTCTGTTGGTTTTAGCTTGACAACTGGCATCCTGTCTCTTTTGATATCTCTTGATAAGGAATAATCTCTGGCTTTTTGTTTTAGATGGTGGTTTTTGCTTGAGCGCAAATGGTCTGGCCTTGACCTGTCCTCAGGCTTTGGCCCAGCAAAAGCCATAATTCTGTGTGCTGTCTGGAATGCTTGCTTTAGGCCTTGAAAAAGCAGTTGAATAAATTTGGGTTGGGAGGATTTCTTAGATTGTCTTTTTAAAGAGGCAGTAATCGTGTGAGATGCTCCATTCCTCTTCCTTCTTAACTGGGCTGGTAAGTCCCTAGAAGGACTCCGTATTGTGGTTCTACCATTTGTGTAGAACTTTGTGTTTTGTGTTCTGCCTCCCTTAGTGATTCTTTTCATTGGGTATTTTGAACTATGGGTCTTTTTGGTTCTCCTTTTAGCCCATTTTTCATCCTGATTGCTTTCAGAGTCACTCTCTGGTAGAGAGTGAACTTGAGTAAATTCATAGTGTCCCAGCTCTCCAATTTCTGTCTTTCCTAGGTCAGGGCCGCTATACTGCCTTCGCCTGATGTGGACTTGTACAGGAGATTGGGAAGATCCAGACTGGAAATCTATTGTAGAAGTAGGACTCTTGGAAGCTTGAGTATAGACTTTAGCTTTCCTTAGTGATGGTGATATAGGACTCCTTGGTGTGATGGGTCTGTCTCTTCTGTGGTACTTTGGGACTTGGGGTCTTTTCCCAGTTCGCAACTTAAAGCCAAGATGCAACCTAATCTCTCCGTGGCCTTCAGGAGTGCTTACAAGGTGGAGCTGTGGATAGATAAGAAGGTAAGGCCCAAAAGAGCCCTGTAATTTATGACAGCAATTAAATCCTGCACATCGGCCACACTGTAAGCAGATAGGGTATTTTAAAACTAAACCTGAAGTTAGAGGTGGAGGTACATTTGGGGGTATCTGACTCCTTAACAGTTTTGCTGCTATTTTTAGCTGCAGATCTTGTAGCAACTGGAACTGTTCTGAGAAGTCAGTCTTGGCCTGGGGAAGGTAACTTGGCTTGAGACACTGTTGGGACTCAAAAATCCTCGTCTGTGAATTACTCTGTGAGTTCTCACTCTCTTCCACTGGAACAGAATCTTTCCTAGTGAAAACTATATTGAAGGAAGACTCTAAACCTACTGTGGCAGGAGGCTGGCCCCCTGTACGTGAAACAGGCATGTGCTGAATGACTTCCTGGGATATATCACTGAGCTTCGAATCTTTCTTTATTCTTGTTCTACTCCCAGAGTATTGCTGTATTATGGAGGACATGGAGCTACGTGTCCACATCCTTAAAGCTATTCTTTGCTGATGACCATGGCATGAAGTGTGTCTCTGAATGTAGTTTTTGAACACTGAAGTCTGAGAAATAATACTTCGACTCTTCTCTAGCAGACTCTGGGAAAATTCCATCAGTTCAGCTGGAACCCCAAATAAATTCTGAATAGATTGACAGATATCTTCAGTTGCTCTTCCCATTAAAGATGTTTGAGAACAAAGCTTCTTTTCCATAGTGGTTCCCAAGACATTCCCCAGCATTAGCATGTTGGAGAGATATTTTCTAGGTAGTCGCTGTCTCCAGGAGTGATTCTCCCAGACATTCTGTTGTCTGCCCAGGACAGACCAGGTAAAGCCTCTTTGAGTTCCTGATCCTGACTGGAAGGTCCTAGATGGTGATCGCCAGCTTTGCAGTGGATGTTGGGATAGGCACTGGAGTGAATTCTCTAGCTTTTCCACCTGCTTCTTATCAGTCCTCTTAGATATGACATCCACTCCTGGGATCTCAAATTGTGGGGTTTCTACAGTGTTAGCTATCTTATCAGAGGGTTGATTGTGAAGGGACAAGGGAAGGGTTGAAGCTTGTATCACAGTAGGGTCTATAAAGGACTCTTCAGGCTGCAAAATATCTGTCCCAAGGTTTTTTATATCCAAGGCCCTTGATACTTCTGGCATCTCCAAATCACAAAGGCTTCCTAATTCAGATGCTTCAACAGAGCTTGAGATGAGTGAGTTTGAAGAGTTCTGTAGAAATCTAGAGAAATAATTCCCTATTTGTAACTCCTCTCTTGACATAAAATCCTCAGATTCCCTATTCTGATATACCTGTGCTAGATTCAAATCCTTACATTCCATGATTTGAGGAAGCCCTATTTTTATCCCTTTTGCTTTCACAGCCTGAAGCCCTTGTTCATGAGTGAACACTCTAGGTTCCTCAAATGAAAATGCTGGCTGTGAGAGTAATTCTGCAGGTTTTACTTGGGTATTTGGCCTTGGAGTTAATTCTACAGGTTCTACCATTTCTTGAAGATGTGGCCTTGGGAATAAATCCAAACAATCAATAGCTGATCCTAAGGCTACTCCTATTGGTTCTACAATCTGAGGAATTGGTCCTGGTGCTAATTCCTCAGATTTTACAATTTGAAGTGGTGGCCCTGGGATTAACACAGTCTTTACAATTTGAAACCCTGTCAACTTCATTATTTCCAAAATTTGGTGTTTTGGCTGTGTGGTTAATTCCTTTGATTTTACACTTTGCAACCATAGCCCTGAGGTAGACTCAGAAGGTCTCACATGTTGCAGTTTTGGAGTCAACTCAACATAGTCTACCATTTGAGAGGCTGGCCCTGGTGTTAATGGTACAGACTTCACAACCTGAAGTGGTGGCCCAGGAGTCACTTTCACATATTCAATAACTTTTGGGGGGGCTACTGGGGTTATCCCTATTGGTTGAGCAGCTTGAAGCTGCGTCTTTGCAGATCCTGTGACTTGATCTAGTGGCTTTGGAGTAATCCTCATAAATTCTGTAATTTGACTCCGTAGTCCTGGAGCTATCTGTGAATATTTCATACGTTGATTCTGTGACTGTGTTAGCCCCATTGATCTATCCCCTTGCTGCCATGTCTCAGATGTGAGCTCTCCAGATTCAGCATGTCCTGCAACTTGACCTGTTTCCTTTGGGGACAAATCTAAAGATTCCTCTCTTTGAAGCCATTGCTTAGAGGTTGAACCCACAAATTCAGGAACTTGATATCCTAGCCCTGGTGTCACCTCTGGAGATTCTGGGACATGATGTAATGACTTTGTAGTCAGTGCTTCCAATTCTTCCCCTTGCAGTCTTTTCTCGGAGATCACCTCCACAAATTCTAGTGCTTGAGGATAAGGCCTTGGAACTCTCTCTGCATATCCAGTGGTTTTACTTACTGGCTTTGGGGTCATTCCAAAGAATTCCTTCCCTTTTGGCCCTGCCTTGGAGGTCAACCCCATAGTTTCTGTAGTGTGATGCTTGGGCTCTGGTGTCATCTCTTCAGAGCCTACAACTTGCTGCAGTGGCCTTGTATGTGACTCCCCCAGATCCTTAACTTGAGGCCATGACTGAGAGAGCAACTCTAGAGTTTCTGGGATTTTCTTTAGGGTTAATTCTAAGGATTTAGAGTCTTGATTCCTTAGCACAGGAGTCAGATCAACAGATTCTGGTACTTGAAGATCTAGCCTTAGAGGTACTCCTGAAGATTCCATGGCTTTACTTGTTGGCTTTGGGGTGAACCCCACAGGTTTGTCTACGGTTTCTTTGCCTTGATGTGCCAACCTTTCTGTGATGTGATAAGTTGGTACTGAAATCAAATTCACAGATTTAGAGATTTGATGCTTTGGTGTTGGGATCATCTCTGCATGTTCTACAAACTGATGCCCTGGCCTAGGGATTATCTTAGAGGAGTCTGTGATTTGATAGCTTCTTTTTGGCGTTAGCTCCTCAGATTTTGTTCTTTGAAGCAGTGACCCCGGTGGTAACTCTACAGATTTTATATCTTGTTGCAGAGATACTGAAGACAATTTCACATGTTTTATACTTTGAAACTTTGGTTCTGGAGTAAATTCCAAAGGTTTCTCACCTTGTTGCTGTGATTCTAGAGACAAATTTGAAAATTTAACACTACTCAACATTGGTCCTGGCATGAACTTCTTAGTTGGCTCTGGTGCCAACACCACTGATTTCATACCTTGCCATCCTGAAATCAACTTTCGGCAACTCATACCTTGCTGTTGGGACCCTGGTGTCAACTCTACGAATTTCACATCTTGAAAACATGGTTCTGGAGCAAAGACCTCAGAATTAACACTTGGTGACCTTAGTGACGACAACCCTAAAGAATTAGCACTTTGAGGCTGTGGCAACAGGTTTGACTTCAAAGATTTCACATCTTGAGAACATGGCTCTGATTCAAACACCACGGATTTCTGCCTGAGGCAAGAAATCAAATCCTTAGAATTCACATCTTGAGGCTGTGGCCTTGGGCTCAACTCCAGAGATTTCACATCTTGAAAACACAGCTTTGGTGCAAACACCACAGATCTCACACTGTGCTGCCTGAGGTGTGAGGGCAACTCCCCAGAATTCATACCTTGAGGATGTGGCCCTGGATTTAATGCCACAGATTTCATTTCTTTTAAACATGGCTCTAGTGCAAACATCTCACATTTCAAGTTCTGCAGCTCAGAGCCTGAAATCAGTTTCACATAATCTGCATCACAAAGCAATGGCTCTTTGTTCATCTTCACAAACTTTACATCTTCAAGCAGTGGCTCTGGTAAAAATAAGAGAGATTTCATACCATTTAACGGAGAGCCTAAAGTGAACACTGACTGCACAACCTGTTGCTGTGACCCACAGTGATTCTCCAAAAACTGGATTTCTGGAAACTTTGTCCCTGGAATTAACTCAGATTTTACACCTTGCAAATGTGGCCCAGGGTTGAACAGAATAGATTTTGTACCTTGATATTCTGATGTAGGGTTCAATTCAGAGGGTTTCATGCCTTGCATCTGTGGCCCTGGATTAAACTTTATAGAATTTATGCATTGAAGTTCTGACCCTAAATTCAAATCAGAAGAATTCACACCTTGCAGCTGTGGGCCACTGTTGAATTCCCGTGATGTTATATCTTGAAACTTTGTCCCTGGAGTCAATTCACATTTCACGTTTTGTAAATGTTGCACAGGGTTGAACATAACAGATTTTATACCTAGAACTTCTGACCCCAGATTCAAATCAAAAGATCCCATACCTTGACATTTAACCCCTGAGGTCAACTCAAAAGATTGTATACCTTGCAAAGGTGGCCCAAGTTCATACCCCATAGAATTTATGCATTGTAATTTGGGCTCTGGATTCAACTCAGAAGAATTTACACACTTAATCTGTGGCTCAGGGTTGCATTCCATAGGTGCTACACCAAGAAACTTTGACCCTGGAATCAATTCAGATTTCAAACCTTGCAAATGTGGTTCAGGGTTGAACACCATAGATGTCTCCCTTGGAATTTCTGTCCCTGAACTCAACTCAGAAGACTTCGTACCTTGTAGTTTTGATACTGAAGTTAATTCAGAAGGGTTTATACCTTGCAAGGGTGGCTCAGAGTTGCATCCAAATTTTGGTTTTGAAATAAACGCAGAAGAATTCATACCTTGTACAGGTGGTCCAAGGCAGAACACCTGGGATTTTATACCCTGAAGCTCTGACCCAGGATTCAACTCAGATTTTATACCTTTCAATTGTGGCCCAGTGCTGAATGCCCTAACATTTACACACTGAAGCTGTGGCCCTGGATTCAATTCAGAGGATTTCCCACCTTGTAATTTAGGCTGATGCTTGAATTCCAGAAATTGCTCATATGGAAGCTTCATGTCTGTGCACAACTCAGATTTTATCTCTTGTAACTGTGGCCCAGGATTGAACTCTAAAGATGGCATACCTTGAAGCCTTGATCCCTGGCATAACTCAGAAGATTTCACATCTTGTAACTGTTGCTCAGGATTGAATTCTCTAGATTTCACATCTTGAAGCTTTGTCTCTTTGCATAATTCTGAAGATTTTATATGTTGCAAATGTGGTCCAGGATTGTAGACCACAAATTTCACACCTTGAAGCTCTGGCCATGGTTTCAACTCAAAAGATTTCTCTTCTTGCCACTGCTTCCCAGCTTTGAACTCAGAAGATATCACACTGCAAATCTTTGATTCCAAGGCTAACTCAGAGGGTTTTGAAACCTGGAATTCTAGGTCATGGTTGACCTCCGTGGTTTTCATTATTTGAAGCTTTATGGACTCAGGAGATTTTGCACCTTGCAACTTTGCCCCAGGGTTGAATTTCATAGATTCCATATCTTGAAGGCATGCCCCTGGTGTCAACATAGGCAATTTCCTATTTTGTAACTGTGGGGCTGACTCAAACCCCAAAGATTTCATATCTTGGGCCTTTGCACCTAGAGTCAATTCAAGAGATTTCATATCTTGCCACATGGGTCTGGTAACGAACTCCACAGATTCTCCACTTTGAAGCTTTGTTTTTGGTGTTAATTCAGAAGATGTTACACCTTGTAACTGCGGAATAGGTTTTAACTCAACAGATTGCAAATCTTGAAGCCTATACTCTAGCATCAAATCAGATTTCTCACCTTGTCTCTGTGGTCCAGGGTTGAACTCCACAGATTTCATACCTTGAAGCTCCCTCTTCTGAGTTAAATCAGATTTCCCACCTTGTAGCTTTGGACCATGGTTGAACTCAGAGGATTTCACTTCTTGAAGCTTTGGCCCTGGGATCACTTCAGAAGATTTCATACCTTGAAAGTGTGATCTAGAACTGAACCCTGCAGGTTTTTTATCTTGAAGCTTTATACCCATAATCAACTCAGAACATTTCACATCTTGTAACTGTGGGCCTGATTTCACACCTGAAAACTTCCTCCCCGGGGTCAAATCAGAAGATTTCTCACCTTGTAACTTTGGACTAGATTTCAATTCCACAGATTTCACAACTTGAAGCTTTTCCCTTGCGATGACTTGAGAAGATTTCACATCCTGCAAGTGTGGTCCAGACTTGAAATTCATAGATTTTACATCTTCAAGTTTTATACCCATGATCAACCTAGAAGATTTCATATCTTGCAACTGTGGGCCTGACTTGAAATCCATGGATTTCACTTTTTGAAGTTTTGTCCCTAGTATCAATTCAGAAGATTTCACACCTCTCAGCTGTGGCCCAGGTTTGAACTTCACAGATTCCACATCTTGAAACTTTGTTTCTGAGATTAATTTAGAACATTTCACTCCTTGAAATTGTGGCTCAGGGTTGAACACCAATTTCATATTTTGAAGCTTTGATCCCAGGCTCAGGTCAGAAGATTTCACAACTTGCACCTGGGGACTGGGGCAGCTTTCTTTATGTTTTACATTTTGAAGGTTTGTCTTTGAGGTCCTTTTAGAAGAATTCACACCTTGTAACAATGGCCCAAGGTTGAAATCTGTACGTTTGGTACCTTGAATCTTTGTCCCTGCAGTCAGTTTAGAAAATGTTGTACCTTCCAACTGTGAACTTGTATTTAACTCAGTAAATGTCATATCTTGGGACTTTATCTCAGGTGACAACTTAGAAGTTTTTAGATCTTGCCACTGTGACCCAGAGTTGAAATTCTCAGATTTCATACCTTGAAGCTTTGTCTGAAGAGTCAACTCAGATGACTTCACGCTTTTCAAGTGTAGTGGGGAGTTCAACTCTATATTTGTATTGCTTTGTAATTGTGACCCTTGGCTTAATACCCCAGATTTCATGCCAGGAAGCTGTGGCTCTTCTGTAAGCACTAGAGACTTCACAACTTGAAGCTGTGCTCCTGGGGATGACTGTAAGAGTTTCATTTCTTGATGCTTTGGTTCTGCAGTCAATTTAGGAGATTTCCTATCATGCATGCAAAGTCTAGATTTCAATGGCATAGATTTCATATCACAGAGCTTTGACCCTGAAGTCAGGTCACATGATTTCACACTTCTAACCTGTAGACAAGGTTTCAAATCACAGTCTTGAGGCTGATGTTCCTGGAGTGATGCCAAAGGTCCTGTATCTTGGAGCTTTGGCCTTGGAGTCAACACAGATGACTTTCTATCTCTTAACTGTATCAAAGATTTCAACCCTACAGACTTGACACCTTGAGATTGTAACCCTATAGACTTCACACCTTGGAAATCAGGTCCTGGTATCCACTGAATACGTCTCATACTTTCCAGCTGTGGCTCTTTTTTTAACTCAATAGTTTTTACATCTTGAAGCTGTGGCTCTGAGGTTGATGCCAAAGCCTTCCCTTTTTGCAGCTGTGGTCCTGGGAGCACCTCGGGAGTTTTCACGTTCTGCAGCTGTGGTCCAAGGTTGAACTCTGTGTATGTTGTACCTTGAGTTTTTGGCCCTAGAGTCAATTCAGATGACTTCATATCTCTTAACTGTATCAAAGATTTCAACCCTATAGATTTAACACCTTGAAACTGTGACTCAAGATTTAACTCTACAGATTTCACAGCTTGGAACTTAGGTCCTGGTATCCACTGAATACATCTCATACTTTCAAGCAGTGGCTCTTGTTTTAACTCAGCGGTTTTTACATAAAGTTGTGGTTCTGAAGCTGACTCTGAGGGTTTTATTTGGTGCAACGGTGGCCCTGGGGTCAACTTAGGAGACTTTATGCTTTGCAACTGTGGTTCAACTGGTTCAAGTTTGAATTCTTTAGGTTTTAAACCTTGAATATTTGATTCTGAAGTCAATTCAAATGATTTCATACTTTCAAACTGTAACTCAAAATTGAGGTCTACTAATTTTTTACCTTTAAGTTTTAGCTCTGGAATTAACTCCAAAGACATTCCATCATCTGACTTAGCCCCTCTCTTCAATTGCTCTGAATTCACACATTGCTGCTTTGGTGAGATTACAGATATCGTGCCATCCTGTTCTGGTCCAGAAGTTAAATTTGCAAGTGCCATCCCTTGAAACTGTTGCCTTGGGGCTAAATCCACAGCTTTTACTCCTTGCAACTTTGGTCTTCTGGTCACTTTCACAGATTTTACTTCCTGGTTCTTTAGCCTTGGGGTCAACTTCACAGATTTTACATATTGCAGCTCTGAATCTGGAGTTTCCTCTACAGATTTTAAATTTTGATGCTTTAAACATGGGGTACTGTTGACAAATTTTGTATCTTGTGTTTGTGGCTCTAAAGTCAGTTCCTCAGGTTTCACACCTTGCAGTTCAGACCCTTGGAGCAATGGCCCTGGTGCAAAAGGCACAGATATCTCACCTTGCATCTTTGGCCCAAATTTCAATTCCACAGTTTCCACAGCTTTGGATTCTTGAATTCTTGCATGCAGAATCAAATCAGATTTTGCACCTTGAAGCTTGGTATCTTCAGTGTTTTTCACAGATTTGACATGTTCTATCCATGGTCCTGCAGTTATCTCCACAGATTTCTCACCCTCCAGCTGTGGACTGGGGGTTAGCAACATAGATTTCATACCTTTTAGACACTGTCCTGTAGTTAAGGCCACAGATTTCACATCTTTCAGCTCAGAGATCAACAACTCAGATTTTATACCTTGAAGTTTTGAGCCTGGGGTCAGCTCCATTGGTTTCACACCTCCCACCTGTGGCCCTTGGATCAATTCAGAAGATTTTATACCTTGAAACTGTGGTCTTCTAGTCAACTCAGAATAGTTTACACTTGGCAACTGTGACTCAGGAGTCAACTCCATAGATTTTGCATCTGGTTTCTGTGGCTGGGAGACAATTTTATAAGAAATGTTACCTTCCAGGTTTGACATTTGATCCATCACTAAATTTTTTACACCATGAAACAGTGTCTCTGGTAACATCTCAGGCTTGACCACTTGCTTTTGAGGTCCTGGGGACAACCCCATAGATCTTACTCCTTGCATCTTTGGCTTTGGGGTCAACTCAAAAAATTTCACATATTGGAGTTGTGGCCCTGAGTTTAAGTCTGAAGATTTCACACCTTGAGGTTGAGTTCCTGATGTCAGATCACAAAATTTGACATCTTGTAGCCATGGCCCTGGGTTAAGCCCCACCTGTTTTATATCTTGAAGCCCTGGAGACATCTTTGCTAATTTAGATTCTTGAAGCCCTAACTCTGGAGTCATCTCCACAGAATTCACACCTTGAAACACTGATCCTGGGGTTTGCTCCCCAAATTTGACACCTTGAAGCTTTGGCCCTGAAGTCAGTTCAGAAAATTTGACATCTTGCTGTCTTGGCCCTAGGTTCAGTTCCTGAGACTTCACACCTTGAAACTGTAGTTCTGAGGTCAATTTCATAGATTCCATGCTGTGAAACTGTGATCCTTCAATAGACAGAAGAGATTTCATATTTTCACTCAAGAGCCCTTGGCTTGATTGCAAAGATGATTCTGTTACAAATCCTAAGGACTGTATATCTTGAAGCTGTGTTCCCAGTATACATTGTACATGTTTGAAACCTTGATGCTTTGGTGCTGAGGTCAAATCAGAAAACCTGACATCTTGCAAGCATAGTCCTGAGTTTTGTTCCACAAATTTCATACCTTGAGTTTGTAGTTCTGGAGACAATTGTACAGACATAACACTTTGATGCTTCAGCCCTGGGATAAAATCTGACAATTTGATTTCTTGCATTGGGGAACCTGGGGTCAGTTCATCAGATTTCACACTATGATGTGGGGACCCTGAGATTAAATCTACAGGTTTTTCTCCTTGAAGAAGTGGCCCTGGAGATGACTCTGAAAATCTGACACTTTGCAAATGTGGCCCTGGGGTCAATTTCACACCCTGAAGCTGTGCCCCCTTAGTCAATTCCTCTGATATTATACTTTGTAATACTGGTTCTTGTACCAGCTTCTCAGATTCTACCATTCCAGTAGTAGCTGGTTGTTGGATTAAATTAACATATTCCACATCTTGTAATTGTGGCTGTGGATCCAGCTGCATAGACTTTACTCCCTGCAACTGTGGCTCTGGGGTCAACTCCAGAACATGTAATTTTGGTCCTGTGAGAAATTGTTTAGATCCTACCACTAACGGGGATGACTCAGGGGTTAACGTCACAGATTTCAAATTTTGCATTAGTGGCTCTGATTTCTCATATTGCATTCCTGGTCCTAAAGTCAATTCTGGAGATCCTTTTACTGAATATGGTGGTACTGGCATTGGCTCCTGGGTATTTTCAACTTGAAACGATGCCAACCCAAAAGGTTCTGTGTTTTCATATTCTGACCTTAGGGGTATCTCTGAAGGCTCAAAAACTTGAAGGCGTGGCTTTAGAGTCATTTCTGTAGATTCTATAACTTGACCTGTTGGTTTTTGTGTCAATGCCACTTGGAGCAAAGCCTCAGAAACCAGCCTCGGAGTTTCTGTGTCTTGATAGCCTGGCCCCGGAGACATCTCTGAAATTTTTTGAAAACATGGCCTAGGCATTATCCCAGTAGTTTCCACGATTTGCTGTGGGATTAATTTCACAGATTCCTCCTCTTGTGGCCAGGTCTCAGAAGCTAACTCTGCAGATGGTGTGTCTTGATGCCTTGGTCTAGAAGTTGGACCCACAGATTTCATTGCTTGTAAATGTGGTTCCATGGTTAGCTTCCTTGATTCAACATGTAACTGTGTTTCAGGAATTAACCTCCTAGATTCTTCCAGTGGTACAGTTAAATCCATAAATGTATTACCATGCATTAATGAGCCTAGAGTCAACACCTCAGGTTTTGTACTTTGGGGCTGTGGTTCCGAGGTCAATGGCACAGATTTCACACCTTGAAATTGTGGTTCTGAGTTCAACTTATAGTTCATAAATTCTGAATATGGTCCTAGATTCAGATGAACAAACTTCATACCTTGGGACTCTGGGTTCAACACTTCTGGGTTCATTCCTTGCATCTCTGATTCTGGTACCAACTCTGGAGATTCTTGTATTATGTGTTGAGACCCTCGAGTCTCTAAGGCTTTTACACCTTGGAGCATTGTCTCAAGAGCACCTTGGAATGGCACTGAGTTCACCTGCATAGATTCTGAAGTCTGACTCAATGGCCCTGGAGCACCTCTTAAAGATGATTTTTTCAACTCCATAGATTCTTTCCCGTGGTGACAAGTGTCAGAGGTCAACTCTGCTTCTGCTCCTTGACATCCTGGCTCTGTGATCATTTTTGAAGATTCTAAAGCTTGATGCAATGGGGTCAATCCTTCAGGTTCTGTGGCTTGATGATTTGGCATGAGGTCCAGCTCTACAGATTTTACTGCTTGAATGTGTGCCGCTGAGATCGGCTCCTCATATTTCATACCTTCTACCTGTGTTTTGGGAATCAACTTTCTACATTCTACCATTTGAGGAAATTTCACATCTTTAAGCAATAGTACTGGGGCTGTCTCCTTAGATCTTTCATCTTGTAACCATGGCTTTGGGGCCAACTCCACAGATTTCATATCTTCCTGTAGTGGTCTTATGGTCAACTCCACAGCTTTCATATCTGGAAACTCGGATGGTAGGGCCAAATGAACATATTCCAGACCTTGCAACTGTGAACTGGAGTTCAAATCTATCGATTTCCTTTTTTGCAACTGTGGTGCTGGGGCTAACTCAGCAGATTTTCCACTTTGTTGTTGTTTTCCTAGGGTTAAATGGATAGATTTCACACCTTGAAGCTGAGACCCTGGGGCTAACTGCACAGAATTCTCACTTTCCAGCTGTGGAATAGGGGCCAACTCATTAGATTTTACAATCTGCAGTTGAAGTTCTGGGACCAATTCTATAGGGTTCACAGTTGGGATCAGCTGTCCATATTTTACCATTTGTGGGACTGGACCTGGGGTTATGTCTATAGATTTTATATTTTGCAATCCTGGGGATAACTTCATAGAATCCACAGCCTTAAGTTGTGGCATTGGCTTCACCCCCAAATATTCTACACCTGGAAGCAGTGATGGAGTGGTCATTACTGCAGATTCTGTGACTTGATGCAGTGGCTCTTGGCTCATTCCCTTAGATGCTGTGCTTTGACCCAGTGACCTTGGGACTGTCCCTAAAGGTTCCATTATTTGATGTTGTGACTGTGTCGACTCAGTCAGATTTCTGATTACAGGGTCAGAGGCCAACTCCATAGTTTCTATAATTTGACGGCTTTGCCTTGGACTCATCTCTGAAGATTCTAAGATTTGATGCCACTGGGTCAACCTTGGAGATTCCATGACTTGATGAGGTAGCCCTGGGGTTAATTCCATAGTTTCTGTGCCTTGATGATATGGTTGTGGAGTCATCTCCACAGAGTCTACCACTTGAATCCATGACCCAGGAGTCAACTCCAGAGATTCCTTGACTTGAGATACTGGCCTTGCCATCAAATCCTGAGTTTCCACAACTTGTGATTGTGGTGCTGTGATCATTCCCATGGGTGACTCCAGTGCTACTGGAGTTACCTTTAAAGAATGTATGGATTGATGTGATGGCATTGGAATCATCCCTACTGATTCTGTAACTCTAAGTGGGGGCTTTGGAGGTAAACCCACAGATTCTACAACTCCAGGTGGACCAATAGTAGGAGGAGAGCTAGAAGAAGTCAAACCATCTGGCTGAGTTTCTCCTGGGGCCAAATTTGCAATTTTAGATTGTGAATCTCCAGATTCTGTAACATGTGGCTGTGCTGGTGGAATTATCCCCATGAAATCCATAGCTTGTAATAGTGCCACTGGAGTTACTTTTGTGTAATCCATAACTTGATGCAATGGACTGGAGATCATTTCCAATGATCTTGTGGTTTGACATACTGACCCTGAAGGAATCTTCAGTGGTTCTATGATTTGACTTTGTGGCTTTGAGGTTATGTCCACTGATTCACTAACTTCAGGCTGTGGTCCTACAGTGATTTCCACAGTTTCCACAAGTGCATGTTGTGCCTTTGGACTCATCTTTCCTGGTGGTATGACTTCATGGTCCAACAATGTGTTGATTTCCCCTGATTGCATGGCTTGAGATGATGTTCTTGGGGTTATTCCCACTGATTCTATGATATGTGCATGTGATTTATTAATCATCCCCATAGAATCCATGACTTGAAGCAATGCTACAGGAGTTACCTCCACATTATCTGTGACTTGACTCAGTGCTCTTGAGGTCATCTTTGATTTCATAACTTGATGCTGAGGACTTGGTGTTACCTCCACTGATTCAGTGACTTGATATGATGGTTTTGTGCCTACACTCACTTTTTTCATGGTTTCCATTGGTTTCCCAACTTTGTCTGGTGGCTGTGGGAACAAACCCACAGATTCTCTCACTTCTGAATGTGATTCTGGGATCATCCCCATTGAATCCATGACTTGAAGTAATGCCAAAGGAGTTACCTTTATGCTATCTGTAACTTGATATGGTAGCCTTGGGGTCAACTCCACATTAGTCACGTGGGTCTTACGCTGTTGTATTCTTTTTTCTGGAAGATCTATGACCCTCTGCTCTATATTAGGTTCCAGGACATGTTTTGGCTCCTTCTGCAGTAAAGTGGTTTCCTCTTGAATTATGTCAGCTCCTAAACTCTTGGGAGGTGGAGTGCCCAAAGATGTAACTAAGGGCCTGGTTTCAAGGATTTGGGGGCCATCTCCAGGTTGTGACTGCTTACCTGGGATAAGTGAGTGTGAAATTTTTGTTTCTGTTCTATTTAATCCAGATTCCACTCCAATATTCACATGGAGCTGAAATGATGGACAGTTTGGGGATTTATTGTTGAGACCTTGTTCAGTGCTTTGATGAATGGGAATAGATACCTGGATTTGAGGTTTCTCTGGTTCAGGAACTCCTCCTTGTGCCTCAATTAAATAATTCAGCATTGCCCATGATTCCCTCACAGGCAGAGGCACTATTTGTTCCCTCAAAGTATAAACCTTCCAGGCCATATGTCCCTCTAACTCCCACCTAGCCAAAGGAGAGAGCCGGATTGGAGCCCATCCCGAGAATCGTGGTCTTGCCTTGAAAACAAAATCTGGCCTATGATCCGATGTCAAATGCTTCTTGCTCTCTCTCCCATTCTTTGTTTTTTCTTGTTGGCAGAGATCTGGGGATTCGAACACAGAGTTGATAAAAGAGCTTTGGGATCTTAAGGGTGAATGAGCTGCCAAATTCTGAAAAAGTTTTGATTTCCCAAACTCTGAGAGCTGAAAAGGACGCAGGGATGTGCCTTGGTTCCTAAACACAGAAGACTGGTTTTTGGGTAAAAGAGGTAAACTATGGCTCCGGAGTTTCCCGGTTGTTCCTTCAGAAAAGACAGGAAGGTGTGACAGGCTGGAGTTGTTGCATGATGATCCAGAGGAGATGCTGTGGTCAGTAGAATGTTTTGCCTTCTTACAGCCACAACAGGGTAGAATAGGCTCCTGAGCCACAAGCACAGAGGAGGTGGAGGAAGAAATCATATCCTGTGGTTCAGGCAAACACAATTCCATAAGACTTGATCTAAGAAATAAAGAAAAGTTTCCATTTGCTTTGAGGCAGAAAAAGGTAGGAAAAGGGAAAGATACTGGCTATTTCAAATGTGAAATATTTTGGCCTGAGGGAGAACAACAACAACAAAAGAGGTTGCTTTCCCCAGTATCAATTACTTATGGATAGAATTCCTCTACCAGGAGGAAATGATCCTCTACCAATCAGAAATGATCCATAGACCAGTTGTTCTTAAACCTTTGGACCCAGAGTTTATCCCCACTGCCAAAACTAAGTAAATAACCAACCAACTAACAATCTCTCTTTTCCCTCTCTCTTTCCATCCCTCCTTCCCTCTCTACTACGTCCCTTCTCAGTCTCTTCCTCCTTCTCTCTTAAAAGTTCTACCACCTTTGGGGTGCCTGGCTGGCTCAGTTGGTAGAGCATGCAATTCTTGATCTCAGGGTTGTGAGTTCAAGCCACACATTGGGCGTAGCGTTTACTTAAAACAAAAACAAAAACTTCCACCACCTTCAACCTCCTCCCAGAAACTACCTTCCCTGACCTTGCACATTCCAGATGTTGGAAGATCTGTTGAAGACTTCTGTCCATTGACCAGAGTATATATTCCTGGGCCCATCCCACAGGGAGTCCTGAAAAGCTGGATACAACAGGGTGTGTCAATGTAATTGAAGTGATATTAAAGTACTAGTAAGGAAACCAATAAGAAGGGTGACTTAACTTAGAAATATAATCGTGAGGGAAGTAAAACAATACTAGGTACCTTTCTCCTAACCTTTACAGAGTTTATCAGTAGGTTTGGCTGGAGAGAGAAAGAATTGATAGTGAAGATCAACTTTACTCACTGTGTCAGATTAGCTTCAGGGCAAACCATCCTGAGATTTTCTTCCCACTGGGAAGCTGGGAGCAGAGGTAAAGAAGATTTTAGCATCCTAATTGTTGATACCACCTTGTTCCACCCCCTTATTTCACAAATAAGAAAAGGTAAAATCATGTGCAGGTTCATAAAGTTAATTAGTGGTAGAGCCCAGACTTAACCCAGGTCTCAAGTTTTTATACTTTGAACTATACTATGCTGCCTTCACCATGTAGTAGATTAAGCCATTGGAAAGAGCAGGAACAATCATGGTAGTAGGGAGTTGGAGTAGGGGAAACAAAAGTTTATAACACATATTTTTTCCTCCAAAGGAGTCTATCCAGTGCCCATAACAGGGAAAAAAGTATTGAAACTTCCTGCACTAAACGCTAATCTCACCAATTTTCTTTCCTGAAACTTTGAGTTTTGCACGAGAGGAAATTAGGAAAGAAAGCATGAGGAAAGGAAGCATAGGATGAATTGTAAATCTCTTTATATCTCTTTGGAAGTTGCTAGAAAGAATAAGCACCTTTCTTTCACTTACGTAATCTTTTTCAACCTCCCTCCCTCCACCTGTTACTAAAGTCTGGAGTCTTAAAGCAGACCCACAGTTGATTTGTCATTTAGCCTTGAACTGAAGAATAAAGGATAGGATCTTTCTGACCTGTGAATTTCTGGATCTTTTTCAATTTATGCTGCTTTGAAGTCTAGAGAGGCACAAAAAGAAAAAATAAAATCAGAAAATGTTCTAGGTTAGAAAATCAACAGCACATTTCCTCTTACAGACACAAATATTGGTACAGTTGGTGTCCATAACTACAGCAACAGCTGCCTCCCCATTCACTTATTCATAAATCATTTAATGAGCACCTATTAAGTCCTAGGCATTATATTGGGTGCTAGGACTACAAAGATAAATATGACCCCGGTATTCTGGAAATTCACATTAATAGGGAAAACAGATGTCTAAACAGCTAAGTTATAACATCGTGTGGTAAATGCTGAAACAGAAATATAAGTGTTGGAGAATAAAAGGACAATGATTAACTTCCTGGGAGAGAAGGGGAAAATTACTCAAGAAGTTGCCATTTGTCCTGGAGTTTGAAGAATCAGCAGAAAGTTTTTAGGTAAAGAAAGAGCATTCCAGGCAAGTGGGAATATCAGCAAGAAGATTATAAAGGCATGATTGTCAGGTGTACTTTTGCTAAGTAGTAAGAGATGAAGCTGAAAATATAAGTGGAAGCCAGATTTTGGTAGAATTTTTATTTTATCCTTTAGGTCAGAATTTCCCAATCAGTAGTTTGTAAACTCCTGGGGTTTTTTTTTTCAAGCATGTTCCAGGCCATTTTAAAGGCAGAAATGACATTTGTTACCATTTCAAATAAAATAATTTTTATTTCTCCCTTTTGAATCAGGACATCAGTCTCTGAGAGTGTATTATAAGAGCCTACACAATATTATTCATAGTATTGCCAAATGTTTTAGATAAACAATGTTGGATAAAAGTGTTAAAAGCAAGATTTCTCCCAAGAATGGTGGGTCCAACATAAGAAAGTAAAACAATGTGATATACCACATGAATAACATGAAAGAAAAAAAAACTGAACAATTATCTCAATTGATGGAGAAAAAGGATTGGCAAAATCCAATACCCATTCATGATTTAAAAAATAAAAATAAAAACACTCAACAAACTAGGGATAGAAGGGAACTTCCTCAATAGAGTAAAGGGTATTAATGAAAAACCCACAGCTAATATCATTCTCAATAGTGAAAGATTGAGAGCTTTCCTTTTAAGGTAGAACAGACAAGGATGCTCACTTTCACTATTTTCATTAACATTGTACTAGAAACTCCAACCAGAGAAATTAGGTAAGAAAAATAAAAGCCATCTAAATTGGAAAGGAAAATGTTAAACAATCTCTATCTCTATTCACAGATGACATAATCTTATTTACAGAAAATCCTAAAGAATACACACACACAAAACCCAATTAGAACTAATAAATGAATTTAGCAAAGTTACAGAATACAGTATCAACATACAAAAATCGGTTGTATTTTTTTTTAAGTAGGCTCCACACTGGGCCCAATGCAGGGCTTGATATCACAACCCTAAGATCAAGATAAAGATCAAGATCAAGACCTGAGCTGAGATCGAGTGGGATGCTTAACCAACTGCCCCTAAAGATTTCATTTTAAAATAATGTCCCCACCCAACGTGGGGCTTGAACTTACAACCCCAATATCAAGTTCTGCATCGGGCTCCTTGCTTGCTGGGGAGCCTGATTCTCCCTCTGCCTGCCTCTCTCTCTCTCTCTCTCTCCCTCTCTCTGACAAATAAATGAAAATATTTTAAAATATTTATCTTTTATTTATTTTTTTTAAAGATTTTATTTATTTATTTGTCAGAGAGCTAGAGAGAGAGCACAAGTAGGCAGAGAGGCAGGCAGAGGGAGAGGGAGAAGCAGACTCTCCGCTGAGCAGGGAGCCCAGTGCAGGGCTCTATCCCAGGACCCTGGGATCATGACCTGAGCCGAAGGCAGGTGCCTAACCGATTGAGCCACCCAGGTGCCCCAGAAAAAAATACTTAAGAAAAATAGCATCAATAGACTTTAAACAAGATAGATCAGCCTCCATCATGTAAGCAGGCATCATCCAATCAGTTGCTGGCCTTAGAGCAGAGTGAGGTTTTCTGAAAAGGAAAGAATTCTGCCTCAAAATTGAAACACGTTGAATCACTATGTTGTACATCTGAAACTAATGTAACATTGTGTGTCAACTATACTTCAATTAAAAAATAATACTTAATTTAATTTATTTTTAAAAAGATGAACATAGAGGGCGCCTGGGTGGCTCAGTCGTTAAGCGTCTGCCTTCGGCTCAGGTCATGATCCCAGGGTCCTGGGATCGAGTCCCATATCGGGCTTCTTGCTCGGCACGGAGCCTGCTTCTCCCTCTCCCACTCTCCCTGCTTGTGTTCCTGCTCTCGCTATCCCTCTCTCTGTCAAATAAAAAAAAAAATCTTTAAAAAGATGAACATAGAAACCCTGCCTAAGTTTCCAGTCTGCCTCAAGAATTTTGGATTTGTCAGCCCCCACAAGTATATTAATATCAGCCAATTTTTCAACAACTCTCTTTCTCTAGCTCTCTTGTTTGTGTGTGTGTGTGTCTGTGTGGTGTGTGTGTCTATATGTGTGTGTGTGTCCATGTGGTGTTATAATAAAGAACATATCTGGTGTTCGTCCCAGATTCCTGACACAGAGCTTCAAAAACCCTTGGAATTTCCTGAGTGATAGGAATGCCTTAGTTATGCTAATGAGGTAGAGAAGAAACGTTACTTCTCCCTTTCTTTACTTTAGTATGCTGAATTAACCTTGATTCCAAAATCTGATAAAGACATTATTAGAAAGGAAAATTATAGCTCAGTCTCTTTCATGAACACACATGCAAAATTCCTAAACTTAATATCAGCAAATTTGATCCAACGATATATATAAAAGGATCATGAACAATATCACAAACATGTTACATTTATTTCAGGAATTCACAGTTGGTTTAATATTTTAAAAATCCATTGTAATTCAGTACTTTAATAGAATAAACAAGAAAAACCATATGAACATCTAAATAGAGGCAGAAAACACTTGATAAAATTCAATAGCCATTCATGCTAAAATTCGTAACAAACCAGAAGTAAAAGGGAACTTTCTTCATCTGCTAAACAATATTTACAATAACCACACAGCAAACATTATACATAAATGGTGAATTAAAGAAAACTTTCCTCTACATAAAAAAAAGAAGATAAAAATCTCCACTATCTATTGAACATTGTATTGGGAATCCTAATCCATGCAATAAAGCAAGGAGAAGAAATAAAAGTCATAGGATTAGAAAGGAAGAAATAAAGTTATCATATGCAGACAATATGATTGTGTAGAATATCACAATATGCTTTTGGAAAAGCATGTACAGATAAACTTTTAGGATTGATAAGTAAATTTAGCAAGATTCTTAGATATAAGTTCAATATAGAAAAATCTATTTTATTTTTAAGTATTGGTATAATTTAGAAAATGACATTTATTTTTTAAGACTTTTTTTTAAAGATTTTATTTATTTATTTGACAGAGAGAGATACAGCAAGAGAGGGAACACAAGCAGGGGGAATGGGAGAGGGAGAAGCAGGCCTCCCGAGGAGCAGGGAGCCCGATGCGGGGCTCGATGTGGGGCTCGATGTGGGGCTCGATCCCAGGATCCGGATCATGACCTGAGCCAAAGGCAGACATGTCTGCCTAACGACTGAGCCACCCAGGCGCCCCTTTAAGATTTTATTTTTAAGTAATCTCTACACCAACGTGGGGCTCAAATTTACAATCCTGAGATCAAGAGTCACATGCTCTACTGACTGAGCCAGGCAGGTGCCCCTAGAAAATGACATGTAAAATATCATACAAACCAGACATTGTGTCCCTCCTGATGATCATCATTACCTATGAAATAATCTGCCCCCCAAAAAGTAATTCTGATAAGTCTTAGACCCAACTTCCCCATTTAAGGAAATAGAGAAGACAATGGAACATATTAAATAACAACATGGGTATTTAATCAGTAAAATCCTGCCTGCAAAACTCTAGAGGACAAATGATCCATTTCTTTAATATATAAATGGAAAGAATAAAAGAAAGAAATGGAGGTAGGGAATTCTACAAATTATAAGGGATTTAAATACACCAACTAATCTCAATTTGTGAACCTTATTTAGATCTTGAGTCAAACAGACTGTAAAAAATTATATCATTTATGAGACAATTGGAATTTGAATACTGACAGATATTTGATGGTATTCAAAGATTATTGTCAAATTTTTAGGCATAAGAATGATATTGTGATTAAGTATGTTCTCTTTAAAGAGTCCTTACCTTTTAGATATACATATTTAATTATGAATGAAATTATATTATCTGACATTTGCTTCAAAATAATGTCAGAGTGAAAACTGGGTTCATGAAGATTCATTATGCACTTCTATGTGTTTTTGATTTGTTTAAATTTCCGTAATCAAAATGAAAAAAATCATTTACTATAGCTTCAAAATTCCTCTTTATTGAGAGCTAAATGTTATTAAAAGAAATTAAGAAGGCCTGAATAAATGGAGAAACAAACACATTCATGGATCAAAAGACTCATTGTTTTTAGTATATTACTTATCCTTAAACTGATGTATAAATTCAGTGGAATTCCAATCGGAATTCCAATCAATTTGTGTCACAATTAACAGGATGATTCAAAAATTTATACAGAAATGTCAATGACCTGCGATGCCTGGGTGGCTCAGTCAGTTGAGCATCAACTCTTGGTTTTGTCTTGGGTTGTGATCTCAGGGTTCTGGGATTGAGCCTTGCATTGGGCTCTGTGCCCAGCAGGGAGTCTGCTTGAGATTCTCTCTCTCCCTCTCCCTCTCCCTCTGCCCCTCCCCCAGCTTGCACGTGCGCTTGCTCTCTCTCTCTAAAATAAAGAAAATAGGGGCACCTGGGTTCCTCAGTCGGTTAAGCGTCTGCCTTCAGCTCAGGTCATGATCCTAGGGTCCTGGGATCGAGCCCCCATCAGGCTCCTGCTCAGCAGGAAGCCTGCTTCTCCCTTTCCCACTCCACCTGCTTGTGTTCCCTCTCTCGCTGTGTTTCTCTCTGTCAAATAAATAAAT